TCCCATTGATAGTCCGCTCGAACTATGGGTAGGGTTTCTTTAGTGATGAAGCATATGTATCTCCATGCTCCCTCGCCTCAGTCTTGTTGACTAGAGGCCTTCTCGACCTTGAAGTTGTCTCCGATAGAGCAACCCTCGGGTATGAAGCTCTTCATGGGAGGCTCCTGAGCCACTTTGGGAACGGACACCTCGGCATCTGTAGCCGAGTGGGAAGATGAAGGAGCAGCCTGCTGAGGCACTAACTTGGAGGTTTTTGCCATTGTAAATCTGGGGAATATGAAAGTCTGAAGAAAAATATGAAGTTTTGAAGATGGTATGAAGGTTTGAAGTTCTGGCTTGAAGGTTCAAAGAGGATGTATGGGGATTGAAGATGAAGATATAAAGGCTCAAAGAAAAGTGTATGAAGATTTGGAGAAGTTAAAAGCGGTTAGAGAGTTCGAGGGTAAAGTCTAGAATCGGAAAGTGGAAGAAGTGAAGAAGGTTAAAGCTTTTATAGGGGAAAAACAATCAATGCGCGATGTTTCGCATTCGAAGCCAGCTAGCCGGTGACTGACATGTGTCCGAAGTCAGAACGACGCGACTGATGAGACGTTTCGATTTACCCGCTATCTCGGTTGTAACGTACGAAGGAAGGAGCTAGGGTTCATCTATCGTTTTGGCAAACCTACTCTCCGGAAAATGAGGAGACTATCTGTATACGGATAAAATCGGGGGTAATGCATACCTCTATTTTCCGGTGAAGAAAATGGAAGAAGGGCATGGATGCACGAGATCGAAATCGAGGCTGGGAGCCCTTCGTATCAAGACCTATGGAAGGTGAACGATGTAATCATCATCGGACATAATAAAGGGACGTTCTGCGGACCCAGAACGAGTTCTAAAACCTCGGAAAATACAGTAAACGGTTACACATGACGGATAGAGGGCCGTGATATTCATACATAACCGGATATCACAGCGCATATCTCGCTCGATATTGGTTACAGATCAGTAATTAACGAGAAAGGAAGATTTTTATCTTTTTAAAACTTGTACTAGGGATGAAACTCTCCTACTATATAAAGGAGACGTTTTTCTTTTGTAACACATGTAACACGTGAATCAAAGTAATACAAATTTATTTCTGCTTTCTAGCTACGTCAAAAGCTTTTATTTAATTGTTTTGTTCTTTGTTCACCACTGGGCTCGAACCAAGGGTCCAATCGAGGGCTAAATTACTGCTCAACCTAGGGTCGGACTAGGCCATAAAATTACAACTGGTTTGATCGTTTACTTTGTTTTTAACTCGTTTATCTAATATTCTTGATTATTTATGTTGAATCAATCCACGTATCTTTAAAATCACGTACAAATTTAATTATCATCCAGTTTAAGGGTAAACAATTGTTGTTGGGGCTTTATGTACACGAATATAAATTGGCAATATCTTTAAATCTTTCATACAACGAACTTACAGAAATTTCAATAGCAACTTCAATTGAAAAATACCTAAAGAGGAACAGCGAATATCTTAGAAGGTACTTTGTCAAGTCTTGAGAAAGGTTAGAAATTAGAATAAACTTGTTAACTTCTCTCTTATTGTCCGTTGGGTGTGAGAAAGACAAACAAGTTTGTCACGTTTTCAACTACAATTATTTTTTATTCTTGTCCAAACATAATTTATTTTCCCAAAATCAATCCAGACATATTTTATTTCTCAAAATCAAATCCAAACATGGATGAAAAACAAACCAAAAATAAAAACAGAACAGAAGCAAACTGTTTCCTTGTTTGACTTGCCGCAGTTTTATAGATGCTCCAAAAAGAGAATCGTATATATACTTCAAGTGGGATTAATCGTTTCCTCTAATTCGAAAGTTTTCTCTTTCAATCAACATTAAGCCAATTAGAGTAATTTATATTACTATAACCAACTTTACAAATGAAATATAAAGACACGCGCAAAATCAGCACTTTAATTAAATTAACAAGATTAAAAGATTCTTTACAAACTAAAATTATTGTAATAACCAAGGCAGTACATTTCATGATATGTGACCCCTTTATATCAATAGAAATATAAAATATATGCTTGTATCACAGATTTTATCATAGAATGAATTGAAAATACATTACTACTGTAAACATTAAGACTCCCTAGTATATATCGAGATAAGTCCCAAATAGAAAAAAATTGAAACTTATTATAGCTTAAATAGTGAGTTTTGATAAAACAATGATATTTGTATATTTAACTGTTTGGAGTTTAAAGGTTAATAATCTAATAGAAAAAAAAACTATCTTTATACTCGTGCGTTGCCAAATGACTAAATGAATGACTATGACTATAAAAAATCTCGTCAAATTAGACGTAATTTATCAAATTAAAATTTTATTTAATGAAAATATTTTAAAGAGAATTTCAAATGTAAACTGATAAGTGCAAATTTGTATAAAAGTCCAATACGACAAAAACTCTCTGGTAACGATACGAAAATCAAAAAGACACTTCATGAATGACGTACACATACATAAAATTGTATCTGGACAGAATAGTGGGCCAAAGAAATAAAAGATTAAATAAAATACGAATTCACAATTTTTTTTTTTTCATGTTCGATGTCCGTTATCTGTATTGGAGCCCGACTATATTCAAATTCGTGCCGCGTAAGACTCCATTCGGCGAAAACGTTCCCTACCAAAATTTTTTCCATACACTTGACTCGTACTTGAGACTTCATTAAGAAAAGAATAGTCTCGTCCACTGCAACACATATTTTGGTGTTCAAAATTAAACGAATTCACATGTTTTCAACTTAAAGTGGAAAAGGACGATTAGGCAGGTAAATATCTATGTCCAATTCATTACTCATCAGCCACTTGTGTGTTGCCCAATAGCCAATCCCACGAAATGAAATGAAATGAAAAGAAGACAACAAAAGCTGAGAGGTGTAAGACAGCGTAAGTTCTGTCGTAAAAGCCAAATTCTTTGTTCCCCTTTCTTAGAGGCAAGTCTTTCATGTTATAGTTTTCCATTTTTGAAAGGTGAGTGTTGGATTACACGTATAAAAAATGGAGCTACTATAATAAGATCTTTAAATCATTTGGTTGGATTAAATTTGAGCAAAGAATTTTTTATTTTTTCAACGAATCAATTATAATCTATCCCTTTTAGAGTTTTTAGTAAAAACTAGACTTCCAATAAGCATGAGTTATTTCTCTCGCAGAGAAACATGAGGCAGAGTTGTAAGTATTAAGTAATTAACCTCCTAGATCAATTACCAGCAATAAATGCATAAATTCCGGCTATCTATTTATATTTTTCCCTTTTAATAGTTGAAATATATTTAAAATGCATATGTTTCTTATATACTTACCCGTTTGCTTTCCAGATTTGTTAGTGATGGTTATATCTGTCTCTATGACTCCGTATGATCTTCAAAAATAAAATCTCAAAAACATACTGTATGCATGGAGAATAAAAGAAAATACTGCACGAAAAGTTAAGAGGCTATGTCGTTGAGCAAGTTAATTTTCTTGTTAGAATTACACTCTTTTCATTGACATGTGTAGTTAAGATGTGTCTTAAACAACCTAGAAATCAATCACTAATCCAATTTGAGAAATGATTTTTGATTGATTTTGAGAAAATGACACTGTATGACCGCTCTTAAAATAATAACATAAAAAATCTATATTTTCATGTGTTATATATATATATTTGTATTTATGATCTTTGCCCTTGATTTTTTTTGCGAGAAAACTTCATTTATGACAATCCGTTAGAAACTAATATCAGCCGCTAGCTACAAATTGCAATATGCATTTTATAATCCAAAATTAATTATAAGGACTAGCCACCGAATTATACATCTGACCCACAAACACAAACACAGGTTCATTTGGAGAAATGATTTTCGGCCCAAAATGGTTTAGCCGGAAAACTTCACCGGTCATAGCAGTGGCCAAAAATTTCACGGTCGTCGGAATTCAAATAGCAAGCAAACGACCTTTTAGATCTAGATTTTCATAATATCAAAAGCCAACGAGATCGAGCACAGATCTAAAGCCAACGAGTCGCCAGATTTAATATAAAAAATTCACGAGTCGCCGGATTTAACGAGATCGAGCACAAATCTATTGCCATTTCCTCTCTGTAATTTGTTTCAAAGGATTGGCTCCCATTGGGCCCCCTAGTATCAATTACTCTCCCTATCTTTTATTGCAACTCGTGCATATCAAACATGAATATTTTATCAATCTCTTTTTTGGACCAACTTTTTCACAAAAAAATTATATATGAAGCTAATATTTAAAACTCATTTTAGATTATGTATTAGACTGGAGAGCATTTCTTTTGAATATTGGTATATTACAAAATATATATACAAAATAGACTATCACTATACAAAAATTATACAAAATACACTGTCACTATACAATTTATATACAATAGACTGTCATTATACAAAATATATACAAAATAGACTGTCACTACACAAAATATATACAAAATAGACTGTCCCTATACAAAAATATACTAAATAGACTGTCACTATACAATTTATATACAATAGGCTGTCACTATACAAAATATATACAAAATAGACTGTCGCTATATAAAATATATACTAAATAGACTGTCACTATAGAAAAAACTATACAAAATAGATTGTAAAAATACAACAAATATACAAAATAGACTGTCACTGTACAAAAAATATACAAAATAGATATTTCGGGCTATTAGATGTAATATGTTTGGGCCGGAGGGTTATTTTGTGTAAATGAGAAAAAATATGGGCAATTAAAATTTTAATAGGCTATAGAGGATAGTTTTCTCTTTTTTGGAGCCTGGCCCGATTCTGGTTCAAGCCTGTGGGCCAATCCTGGTCTTGGTCCGGAACCGCGGCCGGCCCATTTGAGAACACAAAAACAACTTAAAGATAGTTTGGGGACTACATCATAAAATTAACGCCACGTCAGCTGATGCTCAACTCGCACGTGGGCTCTACAGTCTCAAATTGGACCCGGATCCGACTCCATATAGGTCCTGTTTCAGTTTCAACACATTTTGGAGCTGCACTTGAAGAGCAGAGGAGGAAGCGATAACTGTCTTCGAGTAATTACCTTTGGTCTTTCCTCTCAGTATTTTCTTGAGTATTTTGCTGCTGTGTACGTTAGAACATACCCTAAACATATTATCTGAAAATGTGAAAATCATATTTTTTTTTCTTTCTTTGAAGGATTTATGTATATGTATGCATTGATTTGAAATTTGAGTTTTTTCTGGTTCTCTTTTGAATGATTTTCGTTTATGAATTAGGTTGATCCTATCACTAGCAAGCAGTTCCAGCAAAATTTCTATTTTTGTATATGTGTATCACAGTATCAGAATTTTCAAAAGGCGATTTTGTTTGAAGTGCATTCTGCTGGGACTTTAAGGGAAAAGCATGATTAAAGAGTAGGTTTTAGCTAAAAATGCTTTTATGAATAAAAAAATGTAAAATTTGTGTTTAGTGTAAAAAAAGAAGAACTATAAACACAAGCATATAATACAAAGGAATTGAAATTACTGAGTGTGTATTATTGTAACTCTAAAGAAGCATAACCAACGGTATGTTATGTTGCTGATTTCTTATGGAACATGATCCTACGTTTCTGATTGTTCTTATCTTGCTCAGTTCAGTTAAGACGGAAGAGATTTTGGACAAGTTCTAGTTATTCCTTTTCAAGTTTTGATAAGTTTATGTACGCGAAACAATGAACAGAATGAATAATCTGTGTTTATTTGGTTCAAAATGGTATCTTTCTGCTTGTAATTACACTATTCGTCAATTCTGGACTATTATATGCCTCTGGAATTTCTGTTATCAATTTGCTCGCAGCTGGTTTTGGTATTGATATTGGTATAGGTTTGAGTATTGAATTCTATGATGTAGCATCCTTGAAAGAAGTCAAGAGGGATAAGTTGCCCAATGATTAGTCACAGTTAAGCGGTTTCTTCATAGTTGGGTCATTTGCATAGCAAATGCTCAAATTGTAGAATTTTTCCCAACACTTTTACTAGTTTAGTTTGTTGTTGGTCATTGAACTAGCATATCATTTCTAAGAGTAAATTCTTTCCACCCTGTAAGAAGTGTTCAAATTTGTCTTAAGTAATTGATTTGGGACCAAACTTAGTTATGCTTGTTGTTTGTGTTCCTACACTTTAGTCATTGTAATGATCCATTTGTTCGTTGTTTGTTTTGCTTCTTGATAAGTACTGCATTTTGTTTGCTTTGTGTGTAACCTTCCCCGTCATAACTAGGTAGGAATTTTACAGAGAATGATGGCAGAAGAGACAACAGCATGTGTCTGGCATGGCTAACGATCCACCAGCGAGACTCAGACGACTTCTCCGAGCAAATTTTCCAATAAGGGTCCTTGATAACAATCTCCTTTTGCGTGGTCTTCAAACATACGGGAGAAACAAAGTGAAAGAAAAAAAGCGATGCTTGGATTTTCATATGGAGAGATATTTCTCTTGCTTGGCGCTACTGCTGCTCTTATTGGACCTAAAGATCTGCCAATCATAGCAAGAACAGCTGGCAGATTTGCTGGGCGTGCCATTGGTTATGTTCAATTGGCCCGTGGTCAGTTTGAAAGTGTCATGCAGCAGTCTCAAGCTCGCCAGGTGCATAAGGAACTGCAAGATACCATTGCTCAACTAGAAGCCATACGTCATGAAATTCGAGCAGTCTCGTTTATGAATCCTGGTCCATTGACATCGAGGCTAGTAGACAACATCAGCGCTACAGCTGGGGCTGGCACGATAGCAAATGGACCTCAGAAATCTGATGAAGAGAGCACAATAGTTGAAAATGGACCTAAAAAATCTGATAAAGAGAGCAAAACAGTAACTGTCACACCTAAGGATCATAATTCAGGGAGTTCAGCTTTGACTGATATGCACAGCCAAGCAGCTGCTTATGCGAGATTGGCAGAAATGACTCCTTTGAAATCTCTGTCCGTAGATAGGGAAGGTCTGAGTGAACTGACTGATGAATCTGGCAGTATTATTGTACTCCCTGTCTCTGCTGAGAGTGCCGGGTTGTTGCCAAAACGTAAAGATGAAGCAAAGGGGTCTGACATTGTCTTAGAAGCAATACTAGAGGCAGAAGTGGCAAATAATGCCAAAGAATTTTTCTCACAGCCACAAAACCAATTAAAAAGTGAATAAAGAGGTATATTGGAAGAACTTTTACACCATTAGAAGGAGGCCAAGTGAGCATGCTAACATTGGACGAAAGATCACCATGGAAAGAGAAACGATTTAGGCCCAGTTGGGGTCTAGTTACGGTTGAGTCTTTTTACCTCGTCTCTGCAGATATCATTCCCTTTCCCTCTCCCCTCTCAATCAGCTTGGGCATATAAAGAAGAGACTACAGCATTAAACCTTTCATTGGGGTTTCCTCCTTTTCTTTTTGCATTGGTTTTTCAATTTTTCTTCTGTGAAAATTCTTTTCTTCTGCCTCTGTAGTTTTCTTTCCTTCAATCAATCTGAAGAGACGACAGTTTTGATATGTTTCAGTCATTATGGTTTAATTGATAAATGCATTTCTTTCTGCAATCTAACCCAAATGTAGCATTTTCTCTTTTCGAACTAGTTAGCATGTACAGTAAGACTATTAATCATGTTTTACACGAGGATCTTATATTCGCCTGAGGTTTTTCTTTTTCTTTCCTTGCATTATCGTTTTCATGGTAATTGGACTTGGAAGGTTTATCTTTGTGTTTTTTCCCACTGAAAAAGCAAACCCGGAGACTTGTGTTTCCTTTTCTTTCTCTTGTTCTCATTCCCTCCTACCTCCTTCTCTCCTCTCCAAGTTTTTTGCTTGATGACGGGAGAGTTTTCATGGACGTGAAAGTCAAACATAAGTTTGATATGAAGCCTCACACTCAGAACGTGGAGGAGTATAGGAAAATGAAAGGACAAATAAGTCAATGATCTACAACAGACAAATACATGTAAGATCCAATTCGTGTTTGCTATTACCTTGATTAGCTTGCTGGAAAAAGAGGCCACACTAATGATCTCGGAGTGCATATGAGACCCATGCCTGGCATGATCAGGTATTGCATCCGGACTTGATAGCATCTTCTGGATGCTTGATTAGTGTAAGCTATTTCAACTGACCAAACAAAAATAATCGGGTATTGCATCCAGTACTAAGTTATTTGCTATGTCGTTGTTTCTCGAAGTAGAAATCTATGCCGCTGTTTTTTTTTTCTATTTTTTCATAAACCATTTTGTCCGAGTGGGATATTCTTTCTAATGTGTAAGAGATAGGCATCAGGTGAAGAACTTGGAAGGATCTGGAATATCCCTAACTTTACTGTATTTTTACTTTCTAACTTTAAGACCAATTTTGTAGTCTTTATTTATTTTAAGACATAACAAATTAGAGCTTTACTTAGATTATGGTTCTTCTGAAGCCTATATGTTAGGCTTCCTAGTATTGTTCAGGAAACATGAATCAAATTGCAATCTGAAAATTGCATAGAATAGCTTAGTTTTGTAGTTTTGTACTAAAACAGAGTTAGTGCGATTTACTAGTACTGAATTCCTCCTAAAATCGTCGAGTGGTTATGTGGAACACTAGATTTAGCGGTGTTATGTTTTACAATCTATTAGCAGTATTAGTCTAGAGTCCAGGTTTCAGCTGAATTGAATAAAGATACGGTTCCAATAATCTTTTCCTTTTAATAATATTGGAAGATGTTGCATGTCCTTCAGTTATGCAGTTGCATTTTTCAACTATCCCATGTATACCTGATTATTTTGCTTGTTTTGCAGCAATCTTTGAAAGATATACTGAAAGAGCTCTGCATGTACAACAAAAGAGGAATAAACCAAGAGAACATATTAGCTGAAGCCAGAGTATAAGAAATCTGTGGAGGATACAGGTGCCAAATGAATTGTGTCTCTGTTTTAACGTATATTAGATGTGCAACGTGAAGTAATAGGATTTTTCAGAATTCTCTTTCATGAATGTTTATATCCCAGGCCTTCACTAGTCAATAGGTGTGTTGATATAATGTTCTTGTCAATCATGAAATTGCATAGAGTTATGTGAATGAGATAAATACTGGAAAGCATTAACTAAACCTACTTTCTTTATTTTACCTTTTTGCTTACTTTACGTCTATGTTTTAAAAAGCCGAGGGTCTACCGGAAACAACCTCTCTGCCTTCTTAAAAGTAGGGTTAAGGTCTGCGTACATACTACCCTCCCAGACCCCACTTGTGGGACTACACTGGGTATGTTGTTGTTGTTGTTGTACGTCTATTTTTAAAAGAAAGAACTGGGCTCAAGCGTTGTGTTTTTTCTGGTTGGTGTATTGTAGATTGATAGAATTTAGGTGGCTTACAGCAATAGTAACCACATTATGTTGATATCAATCTCGGGCAGTTCTGGAATATTTGTATAGGTTCAATTTCCCATGATGGTAGAGTAACAATATATTATTTTTGACACGCATGACCTATGTGCTTAAGGTGTAGCCATTTTCTTTGCTTCTTATAAATAGCTAATTGGTTGTATAATGGATAAGAATACAAAAATATCTTTCTGATATGTAGTGCGTGAACGGAGTACTCTTGTGCACTAGCTTTCTGGTCTTTTCAGGAGAAAAAAACATGGTAGGTCATAACTTGTTTTAAAGGTGGGGTATCTTTGGCACCAAGGACATCTGTATGTGCGTAAGTTGAATCGTGAAAATGCTGAGACGTATTCTAGTTGTCTGCGTTGGTGGTGTTTCTTTTATAATCCTTGAAATGGAGGCATCACTAGGTTCTTACCTGGGGTTTGCACATCTCTCTTGCCACTTTGTGATTCTAGGTTGGAGATGAGTAATTCTGTAATTGTGTTTGACTCTCCACTTGAGGACATCTTGAAAGCTCAAAGATATTTTCAAGCTTATATTTTGAGCTTGTTGATTCCTTTTTTACTTGTACTGATGATTGATGAGAGCATGGTCATATCTTCTGAGCTTCTCCCCCGCCCCCATTCTTACCCTCAGGAAAAAGAAAAGGAACGAAAAGAAACCAAAGATTGCATCAGTTGTTTTATCTTCCATTTTGACTGTATTTGAAGGGTTTTGAGTCCACAATTAGAAGTATGAAGATTTATTCATTTCCCACTAACTAAAATCTTCTTTTCCTTCCTAGGCTGTCTTAGACTTTTATTCACTTTTGAAAATTTTCATTTAAAATGATTATTTATTAATTCATGTAACTGGAACGGAGTGAAAAGCCCAAGATGTCATGTTGAGTCTAATCTTTTAGATCCAATGATTTCACTCATAATATAATTTGATTGTTTTCCTTTACCTGTGCTCATCTAAAATGGGACAATTTAAATGGGACGGAGGGTGTATTAACTATACCAAATGCAACGTTTAGGGGATGAGGCTTCGCGATTTTCCAAAGGGAGGATGATTTCTTTCCCCCTTCAATTTGTATGATTAGTTCAATGGTATCATTATGTCGGCCATTGGTTAGGTTTGGTTTGCAATGACATCTCTATGTGCTGCTACTTTACTTTTCTTCCAGCTCACTTTGTTTGACTCTTTTACTTTAAGGTCGAAATTCCCAGATAGCCCCTCAAACTTGGCACGATGTCAGTTGGACAATTCAGCTTAACTAATGACCAGATAAACACCTATGTTAGATAGAAGTGTGTTACATGAGCACCTCACACTTGCATGGAAAATTGTGTCTTACACTTAAATTTGAGCGCGTGAAAAGCTCAAAATATGCTTTTTCTTTTTTGAAAAATTTCACCTCTTCCTCAAAATTTCCAGTTGCCCTTTCCACCATTTTCACAAATTTTAAGCTTAATAATCACTTCTCTCCATAATCCAAAAAGAGAAAAAAGAAAAAGAGCTGCCAATTCGAGCAATCTCCATTACCATTGCCAAAATTTCTGATGACCCTTTCCACCAGTAGAGATGGTCCTTCTCATAGATTAAGTTAAATATGTCTTTCCTCGTCAGAGTCTGGAGCTCTATATTTGGTCTTGCATTAATGGGTTTGTTTCACACAGAGAGGATAAAACAAGAGAAGGTCGCTTGAGATGGTATAACTATGTTCTCGTGGACCTCTAAATGCACCATCCCTAGGTGCTGCACTATGATGATAGATTGCTAAAAAGGGGACGAGTTAAATCTGAAATTACATGGGAGTAAAGTTATCTCAAACGGCCCGCAATTTCTTGAAATTCTTACCACGTAGGAAGAACAAAACAAAATGAAAGCAAAAGATCCATATAGGCGATTCCAATAAATTGGAATTAACGTTTGTCATATAGGTGCACTTACACTAGGTTTGGTGTCTGCCAGAAATTTTTTTAGTTTGTTTAGAGAGAAAATGTTGGGGAGTTCTAGTGTTAAAAGATCCTAATTTGTCAAATGATTGAGTATTCGAATAAAACGAGTCCAAATAGGAGCTGCATGGATCACCCAAGGGTGTAGCTTAGTGGTTAATGAAGTGGTCGAGAACCATGAGGTCTCAGGTTCAAATCCCATCGGAGGCAAAAAAGCTAGGTAATTTTTTTTCAATCTGTCCAACCGTTGGTGGATAGAGTTACCCGATATCTGTGCTGGTGGGAGGTAGAAGATACCTCGCGGAATTAGTTGAAGTGCGCTCAAGCTGGTTCGGACACCACAATTATTAAGAAAAATGATGGATGTTAAAGATCAAGCCGACCCTAACTAGTTTAGAGTTGAAATGTAGTAGTTATTGCTGTAGTACAGAGGGCTTGAGTGTTGGGCTGGTGAAGATTGTTGAGTCTTCTTAAGTGCAGTAATCTCTGATTTAGTTCGTTTATTTGGTAAATAAGGAGTGATCATTTCCCAGTAATATGACATTGGTGATAATGAATGATTTTCATGAGATTTCCACTCTGGGGAATCATATAAACAGTTCATTGCATGGATGTGCCATTCATCCTCCTTGGAAAGGTCAGATGGATAGAGAGGTTATGTTTCCGTTGGAGATTGGAGAGACGAAAATGACACAATTTTGGAGGAGCTTATGATGGCTTGGGATTCCATTCATAAATGATCCATTTTCCTTAATCAAGGAAGGGCAGGGATGCTATTTCCTAGGATAAGAATGTTGTACTTCCAACATTTATGGGAGAGGTTTGGAGTAGTTTGGGGGTGGGAGACTCTTCCTCTGGAGCCCTTGCTTAGGGTAGTGCAGTTTTTGTGGTTGCAAATAAAAATGTTAGGCCTCATTGTTAAGGTGCCAAAAATTTAGAAATTTTTCCTGTGGAGCTCAATCAAGAGATTGATAAGAGTGCGAGATGTGGAGCAGAAGTTTATTGAATATCATGATCATTCATCTGAAACTACTGTTTCACTTAGTGATGTCCACATAATGGATGTACCTGCATATGTGCGACATGGTAAAGGAAATGCATTTTGGCACACTATCTAGTGTCTCCAGTCTCATTTGACTCTACAATGAGATTTATTCTATCCTTTCTGCTAAGATGCTAACATAACAGCTGTCCTATTGGTATGACGATCATGGCTTTCATTTGTCTAGCACTGTAACTGTATATTAGGTACTTGGAATAAATTGCTTTGTTAGTACTTTTTGTGTATAGGAAGACTGAGTAAGTTGCATTCAATCTCCTTTCAAATGTTAACTATTCTTTCATACTTTCTGCCCCCAGGGCTAAGTCAAGTGGCAAAGGTTGAGGGACTTGTGACTTAGGTCACAGGTCAAGCCCTGCACCATATGAACTAAGCGTGGTATTTAAATGGAGAAGGGTAAAGGGGCCTGCCTGCTATCCCCAGGTTTTGAAAGCTGCCAGTGGTCCTAAGGTTTGGCCCCAGACGGATTTCTCAGTCATAAAATAAAAATCATACTTTCATCCTGCATTTAGTTTATTAGTTCTATTACAATGACAGACTGGTTAAAAACTAATCTAGAAAAGCTGGATCTAGTGTTTGGACTCAAGTTCGATATTGATTCATGTGCATTTTGCTGGAAAATAGTAGTTTTCCAGTATCTATCACTTTCTGGCTCAAGAGATCTCGAAGACCTGTGAGCTCTACCATGTAACATCAGCATTTGTCCTGAGAAACACATTAAAAAAAAAATGGCTCCCCAAATTATGATCTACCCTCCTTAGGTTGTTTTGTTTTTGAGTGATTACTTTTTGTGGTACTTGTTACAAAAGAAAAAATGGCATTTGTATACTATATGAATTCGATCTCATTTGCATGACTTTCATGTAGCAAATTGAATTTTATGCTACTGAGATTTTGATGTTGTATAATTAAGTATGACAGACATCCGTGGGAAGCCTGCACCTTTCTATCAATCTACGGATAGATTAATTCATGATTTGGTGCTGTTACTATGCCTTTTCTTTTCTGTTTCCTCTCTTTTGTTGTGTGGTGGTGGCAGGGAGGGACAGTAAATGGAAGGAGTGTTTTTGCGCGTTAAGCTAGGTGATTGTGGTTAATCTTGGTAATGTTGTGAGTGAGTTTATTAAGCTGAGGGAGTTTTGGAAAGTTTTGGGAATATCTTGGGGACAGGATCAAGGAAACGTTGCCGTATTATTAATATTTTTATGATTATAATTGAGAAAAGCGGGAAGTGGGTAAGCAACGGAGGGAACGCGTTGGACTCGGGAAAACCAAACATAAAATAACGGAGTTGAATTGAGTGAAATGTGGGATAAAACTGCGATAAGAGAACTGTTAGCTATAGAAAATTGAGACTTAAGGTCTAGATTTTATTGTGTGCCAAGGGAGTGATGTTACTGCTAAGGGAGACAAGTTTTTGTGTAAGTTAGGTAACCTCCTTCCGTTTTTTATGCATTCAGCTGTTCGATATAGGTTTCAACCACCAACTGCTGCCCTTCTATATATAACACTTCTTATATTAAAAAATGTTGTGAGTGCTTTTTATCTTCTTCCTTATTTAGAAGAGAGCCCCTTCAATAATAGGCATATGCCACTGAATGAAACGAGCGCACGATATTCTTTAGTAAAAGGCGAAACACTAGTTAGCTCTGCGCTCACTGCATGGCTGCCTAATGTTTTTTTTTTGATAAGTTCCCTTATTGTCCCATAAAGGTGCGTGCTGGGGTATTCATTTTTCTACAACGTCTATTTATAGCTCATACATGAGTTTTAAATTATTTGATCAGCATTCCAGTGAAAAGTTAAAATGGAGCCTAGTGCTCTAAAAAGTAATTATGTAGTGGTAGTCCTTTTCTTGAATATGTTCAACATGCAGATTCCCAAGATAGTGCGGCTTTCATGTCAGTTCCTAAGCTTGAGTCCATTTCGCCACAGAAAAAAGAAAATAAAAATAAAAAGAGTTTAAGCATTCTTGTTAGGTTTATATGTTAATATGTCCAACTAGTTCTGTATGAATTATGATGCTTGTAGGAAATGGATATTCTGAAAGCTTGGTCAGACAAGTTTGTGAGGCTGTTGTTTCTTTAAAATTGGACTAGTAATAACGAACTCAATGTGGCCCCAGGGCTTTGGTCTAGTGGTAAGAGTGCAATGTATGATGTGTGCAGTAGGCGCATGCCATAGGTTTGAACCCTACCGCAAGACAAAAGCCTAGTATTTAAGTGGAGAAGGGTAGAGGGGCGGACTCATTATCCACCGAGTTTCGAACCTTGTGCCATTAGCCCTTGTGGATTTCTCGGTTATTAAAAAAAAAAAAGGTAACGAACTCAATGTGATTTTGGATATTTTAAAGTTCAGTAGCTCTCCATTGAGTAGCAATAGAGAAACTTTCCGGACAACTGACCTTTCTGGTATCTTTAAAGCTGCCTGCTTGTTTTTTATGGTTGATACAGGATGTCAAGATTTGAAAGTTAATGAGTTTGTCCTTCATATTTTTGCTGTCTACCACATGGTCTTCCATATGCAGATAAATTTATCAGGATGTTCACCTAAGTTAGCTTTATCTTATATGTGTGACCATATTTGTGACTGCTTAGTGCTTAGTTATAAACTGCATGTATTTGATGAAAGAATAATATCTGTATCCCTGCAGTCTGAGATGCCTATGAGAATGTCAAAGTCACAGCCAAATTGACTGTAATGCGCTCTTTCTGATAGCGAATAGCCAACCAATTTGTCCCACTGATTTAACTTCTCAGATACATGTGAGTCAGAGTAGGTATCATGAAAATGGCCAACGAGGAATCTTCTTTGTCACCTTTGGAAGATTTTTAGCATCTTTTAACGAGAGATATTTGGTCCAGCTTCTCATTTTTCACGATTGGACTACAGATAAACTTTATTAAGACTTTTGCATGTAATGGTGGCCTATGGTGCCTAATATTGGGACCCTTTACCTATATATATCATGCAGCTTGTGACTGTTAATGGAGACCTCCCATGAACGTGGATGGTCAAAAGTGGCTAACCACAAGAGAATTTGATGAACATAGTAATGGTCCTACTCTTGAATGGAATCTGTACTATTTCCATTTCTACTCCACTTTGAAGACTAATGATTTTGGAGTCCCATCTATTCATCTCTGCCACCATGGCTTTTGGTATTGCATTTTTACTTTATGTGCACCTGACTGACAATAACAATTATCCCTTGCTTGGATTTGCTTTTTTTCCATATAAGGTGCAATTTGATTGATTATTGAAGTTTTTAGAACTAGAACATGGTGCTCAAAAATGCTTTTGGCATATTCATGTACATGGAATTACATGCATTTGATTAGCGCGTAGAAACTCGATAAAGCTTATTTTAACCTAGATTTTTTTTGTTTTGTTTTTTGTTGGCTGAAGACCAGGATGCCTATGTTTTAGAAGAATGGTAAGAAAAATCATGTTGCTTTACTACAAGAAAAGCAATTTCTTGTTTGTTTACAGCGAGAGATTGTTTCCATTTCTTGCCCTTGTAAGTTGTAATTTGACTCTGTTGTCAAATTGTCTGTACAATAGTGTGTCGTTTTTTGATAATATTAGATTTGCAGTCTTAAGCATCAGCAGGAAGACGCGACGAGAAAGACAATTTTATTTTGTGTGTTGGTCAAATTTGGTGGCTGGTTAGGCCATGATTAAACTAGGAATGTTTATCTTGTGAAAACGATGGACTGGTTCAGCAATTGATGATAGTAGTTATCTGTATACTTCCATCGCTTTACTTTTGAATCGCATGAACTTATCAAGTTTGTATATATACACACACACATACACTACTTTTTACATATGCAAAAGATAGGCTGCCTTTCTTAGATATTCAGTAGACGTTGCTGCTAGTGGGTGGGTCTATTTTCTACCCAAAAGAAGCTAAAGAAAGCAGTAGTGTGAGAGCAAATAAATGTAGAAATGACACCAGATAGCCACTCTAAAGGGATGCTATTTAGGAATTAGTCAATGCGTTTTAAATCTTAATTTTCCTGTTCAATTTTTCAGGACAAAAATAACCTGAGTTATTCAGAAGTTTAGATTTTTAATTTAAAATTTCAGGACAAAATAAGTATTGGCTAACCTCTAAATAGCATCCCTGGGAATGGCCATCTGCCCACTTGCCCTAGCATCTACTAGTAGATAGATATCATAAAAGGGCCAAACGGCTTTAAGTTAGGAAGACTTGAAACACTTTCCCAAAGCAGTAAATCATATGTATGTTTTGAAATCTCCATTTATCATTGATTCATTGGATTCGTGAAAGTAGCCAATTGTAGGTGAGGAGATAAAATCAAAAGGAATAAAGGTAACATTAAACCTAGCAAGGATGATGCGATTGCTATGCTTTTGGAATATTGGCAAAGGAACTAATCAAAGTTGCGTAACGAGTCTGGATTTGATCCAACTTTCTGAATCTAGTTACTTTTCTATTTAGTTTTAGTTAGTTTTTGTTACTAATATTAACTTTAAGGCAAGGGGAGGTTATGGTGATTTTATGATATACTCTAGTATCAAAACCACCCCGTATATAATCTGTTCTTAATATATTAAAGGGCAAAGTATCAAATTGGTCGGTTGGTCAAAATTAATTGCATTCGCTGGTCAAAAAGTATATGAAATATGTATATTATATATACATAATACACATACATATAATAATTATATATTTTATTGACTGTTATTTTTTGGAGTGGCTAAAAATGTACATTTCTTTATATTGGGATTAAAGAGGGTTTCTACAACCGATGAAAAGTAATGAATATCCAGTCACGGCCATTTCAAGCTCAGCTCGAATAGTCGCCCTTCAAAAGAACGAGCGTAGTGAACTACAAAAGGTTCAAAGATCTCGCTAAAGAAGGTGATAATTTATTATACTTGTGTACATGTTTTATGTCATGGGCTGGCTTTTCAGCCATACCCATGACTCCTTGGACGCGCCATACGGCGCTCTGGCAAGCCTCCCAACGCCTAGTGCCACGGTCAACCCCGTAGTCTTGGTCGCGCAAAGTGACAAGCGCGTCTGTACCTATGTAACCCCACCGATAGCTCTCGCCATCGCCCAGTCGCAGACAGATGCCAACAGGGCTGCGCGCGCAGACAGTGCCGCGCGCGCAGACCCTGATGCTAAAGATAAGGTTGCTGCCAACGGACCGATTTCTACTTTGTAGGAATCTAAGTCCTTTTCATTGTAAATATAGAGTAGTTTTATTTCATGTATTTCCATCATGTCTCTCTAGCTTAGTTAGGTCAAGTCCTGTGACTTTGGTTTATTTTTATTAAGCACTATTAGGGGCATCAAGCAATCAAACTTTCTAGCAAACAAACAATTCTTTGTGCTGGTGTCTCTCCCCCTCGACACTGTGTTGCTTTCTGTAATAGCTTTCATTAATGCAATCAAGCTTTCTTTCATTCTCAATTCTCATTTCTATTCTCTCAATTGCTCTTGACATTGGTTTTCCCGTACGGCACTGACAATCTCGTCTAGTGTACGGAGGAGACCTCAGTTAGTGGATAGTAACTATACTGACATCGGTTGCTTAGCCGTACGTCTCCCTTCCAAAGAATCTCAGGAAGGAGCCGCGTAACAGTTGGTATCAGAGCCTAGGCTCGACATCGGACAAGGGAACCCATTGCCATTACCATAATTTCTGACCATGGTGAATCATGGGGATCGCATTGCGGCCCTTGAAGAGATGGTTGACGTATTACGACCCACCGTGGATGCGATGCCTGGTCTAAGAACTAACCTAATGCAAAGGTTGGACGACCTGGACCGCAAGATGTGGCAGGCCGAAGGTGACATTGCGAACATCAGTCGCGACTCTGAGGGAGACTGGCAAACGACAACCGAAATGTTTGGTAAATTTGAGGGCCTCCAACAGTAGCGTACCGAAGATTTAGCCTACAAGGCACAAGAGGAAGACAAGGTGATTGCCATGTAGCAAACTATAGACAACTTGACAGGCCAGCTCAATGTTGTCAATGCTGCACTACAAGGCCTACTTCGAAGAGGCAGAAACCAGATCGGAGGTGCTGTGAACCTCAACCCTGTGCCATAAAAGCTGAAGATTCCTGAGCCAAAACCATACAATGGAGCTAGTAATGCCAAAGAAGTGGAGAACTTCATCTTCGACATCGAACAATACTTCGATGCCGTGGGGGAGTTAGAAGAAGCAAAAAAGGTAGCAACTGCTACCATGTATCTTCAGGGTGATGCTAAACTCTGGTGGCGGGTGAAATACGAAGCCATCAGGGCCGGTGAACATACTCTCGAGACATGGGCAGAAATAAAGGCAGCCATACCCCTATAGTTCTTCCCCGAAAATGTTGAGTACGATGCGCGGAGAAAGCTATGGGAGCTCCGCTAGACCAAGTCAGTGCGGGATTACGTGCGGGAATTCTGCGCACTCATACTGAACATACGAGATATGGGGGACAAAGAAAAACTCTTCACATTCCTTAAAGCTTTGAAACCTTATGCCCATATGGAGCTGCAAAGACAAGGGGTAGACACCTTACCCAAGGCGATCCAAGCAGCGGAATGCCTTGGGGACTATCAAGTGGAATCTAGGAAGGATAGGCCTCAATCGCCTGTCCGAGCGGGATACAAAGGGGCCAACCTAGCAATGGTGGCCCTAGCAGAAGTGGAGGAGATCGGAGTGCAACAAAATCTAAGGCTCCTTCCTCAGGCAGCAATAGTGCTGTATCAAATAACAAAGATCGGGGGAGAAAGCCCCCTTCAGGATGCCGTGATTGCGGCGGGCCATATTGGAACAATGAATGCCCACATGCATAAATGAATGGCCATCAAACTTTTGATGATGGGACGGATGGCGACACATATGATGTTGATCAGACCGAACCAATAGGTGCATTCAACACATTTGTTTGTTCTATTTCTGAGGCCTTAGAGGGAACCAATACTGGTATCCATAAGAAGAAGGACCCATGCCTAATGACCAAGAAAGGGAAAAAGAAGGCGGATGAAGGGCCTTCTCTTAACCAAGGGAAGACCTTAATGTTCGTCGAGATGCAAATTAATGGCAAGCCCATTCGGGCGATGATAGACATGGGTGCTACTCATAACTACTTAGCCTCAACTCAGGTAGAACGCCTTAGTCTAGTTGTGGGAAAGGGCAGAGGTCGTGTCAAGGCTATTAACTGTTACACCCCATTTTTTCGTACGTTAAAGTTTCGTCATAAGATAATCGACGTGAGTTCGGGAATGAGATTATTTTGAGATTATAAGCATTATGCTATTTCAAATAAGTGACGACTAAATTCGTGACGGTGAGAGGATAAGTGAATCGAAGAAAATGAGTTTCGTCGAAATTTAATAATTTGGGATAAAATATGGTCCGAGCTATAATACCCGATATTTATGGACTAGTACCATACAAGGTACCACGTGGCCATGATAGTAAGGTATATAAAGTATATTAAAAAGGAGTAGTATTTTAAGTAATTTGAGATAATTCTTAATTATATGGGTAATTGGTTGATTATTGATTAATGGGGGGATTAATTAGTTAAATAAGATAATAGTAATTAATTAAGCCTCTAAGATAAGCAAAGAACGTGGAAGCCCGCCCCCCTCTTAAAACTTAAGATGACTCTTAAGTCATTAATATAGGTGGCAAGCTTAAGAGATGTGGGCAAGTCTTGTAACATGAGTCACATTATTAATTTAAGGAAAGAGATCCCTTTTTTAAGTCTTAGGAAGATGAGTCATTAGTCATACAAAGGAAAGAAAGCTTCAGTCAAGCACATAAGAACGTTCCAATTCCAATCACTTTCTCATCCAAGGAACATAAGCAACGTTAATTTACTTTCCAAAATAGCAACATTGTTGCTAAGTTCTTAAGAAAGGTTTCGGCCAAGATTTTCTTTGCATAGCAACGTGATTGCTTCGAGCTTTTCATACGACTTGTTCCGTATTTTGTCGCAATTAACGTGTGTTAGAGGATTTTCAAGAGAATTAACTGAGGTATGTTAAGGCTATCCTTTCTTTCTTTTTGGCATGCTCCAAATAATATAAATGAAACGAGCAAAATACGCAACTTTCATAAATGACTCTATTCATAGAAATACTAGGGGTGTCTATATTCTTGACTCCCCATGTGAATTATTATTATATCATATATTCATGGGTCTCAGAAAAATACGTATTTGATAAAGTTTATCCGAAAGGCATATTGATTTTATGACATTCCGAGAAATCTTATTAACGTATTTCATATGCATTTCATGCATTTATACATGCACATTGACCCATGACCATATGGCATTATATACGCGTATATATATGTATATGGGATATGAGAAAAGGTTATGGCGTTATATACGCACCACCACCTGATCAGCTGGTATACGTTGATGATTTGCCCATAGTGGCCGAAATGATATGATGGGATGCCCTCAGAGGCTTGATGATGTTATGAACACATATACCTATGCATGGTATGCCATTTATACGCATATGCATGATGTTATAAAAATGAAATGATTCACAGAGCTATGCAGACGTACATGTCGAGTCTTTTACTCCATGTTTCTCTCATGTCTATTATTTACGGATTTTCATTCCTTACATACTCGGTACATTATTTGTACTGATGTCCCTTTTGCCTGGGGACACTGTGTTTCATGCCCGCAGGTCTCGGTAGAAAGCTCGTGAGTCCTCCAAGTAGGCGATCAGCTCAGCGGAAGATGTTGGT